TCTCTGAATGCCATTTGCTTGAAATATCATTTCCACCCTTTTACTTTGAGTCTATATTTGTCTTTGGAGCTGAGATGTGTCTCCTGGAGGCAGCATATCATTGGGTTTTGTTTTTTGATCCAATCTGCAACTCTGTGCCTTTTTATTGTTGAGTTCAGTCCATTTACATTGAGAGTGATTATTAAAATATGAGGTCTTCTTATAGCCATTTTATCTTTTGGTTTCTGGTAGCTCGGTGTTTCCATTGCTTCTTTGTCCTTGTGTTTCTGTTTTGTTTATTTTGGTTGGCTTTTGTGGGTTTTCCCTCTGGTTCTTCTTGTTTTATATTATATACTACGGTTCTAAATCTTTGTCTTGTGGTTACCATTACGAATATGAAAAAGATAGTTGTATATATACAATTGTCCTTTTTCTTATGAATGTGCCTTATCTCCTTTCCCCTTTGCGAATTTGGATCTCTGAATCCTCCCCTTTTCAGTCCTTGTTGTCTCAATTTGTCCCTATGTATGATGAACGTTCATTACTATCTTGCTATAGCAAATATCCTTATTTTAAGCTTATAATGCCCTATTCGTAGTAAAGGTTGCACTCCTCTGCTTTTATCAGCCTGCTAGTCACCTTACTCCTAATTATGCATTTTTTTTTTTTTTGTCATTTTGTTTTAGGTGAGCTGACCTCTTTCAGAATTTCCTGCAGTGCAAGCTTTGTAGTAGAGAATGCCCTCAATTTTTGTATGTCTGGAAAGGTCTTTGTTTCTTCTTTATTTCAAAAGGAGAGCTTAGCTGGATACAGTATTCTTGGCTGGTAGTTCCTTTCATTTAATAGTTTGAATATTTGATTCCACTCCTTTCTGACTTGTTAGGTTTGTGCTAAGAAGTCCTACTATAACTTAATGGGTTTTCCTTTATCAGTTACCATCTTCTTTTCCCTGGCTCCTCTGAGAATTTTATCTTTGTCATAGATTTTTGATAATTTTAATACCATGTGTCTTGGTGAAGGCCTTTTTGGGCGTGATAATTGGGTGTTCTATTGACTTCTTGAATTCCGAGCTCCAGTTCTTTCCTTAGCTTTGGGAAATTTTCATCAACTCTTTGTGTAAAAATGCTTTATAATCCCCGTTCCTTTTCCTCACCTTCGATAATGCCCATTATTCTTATGTTTCCTCTCCTGATGATATCAGCTAGTTTTTGAATTTCTCTTTCATTATTTTTCATTCTTTGGTTTCTCTCTTCTTCCTTCTGATTTATTTCTAGATTTCTGTCTTCAGTATCATTAATCCTTTCCTCCATTTGATCAACTCTAATTCCCAAGGTTGCTATTTCATTTTTCAGCTCTTGCAGTGTGCTCTTTATCTCTAGAAGGTCTATTTAGTTCTTTTTTGAGGGTTTCAATCTCCTTGCTAAAGAACTCATTCTGCTCATCTAGTTGTTTTTTCAATTTCTGAAATTATTGATATGGTTCATTTCAGATCTCACTGAGGTTTTTCAGAAGTACCATCCTGAATCTCTGTCATTTAAGTCGCATATTTCTATGTCTGTAAGCTTATTTTCTGTAGATTTTTCTCTTTCTTTCTGAGCTGCCTTGTCAACTTGGTTTTTCATGGTGTTTAATGGACTATTTCTCTGCCTGGGCATTAACAGAGAAGTGTGTTCTGCTTCTTCTTCTTCTTCTTCTTTTTTTCCTTAGATTTATTTTGTAATGGTCTCTAACCCATTGCAAATAAGGTATTTTTCTTTTGGTTTCCAGTAGGTGGCGTCTAAGCCTCTTAGATGTCTGCCTTATATAAAGTGTTAAGAATTGTTTTTTTTCTTATAGATATTTAATCATGCTTGCTACCCCCAATCTCAGTTCCTGTCAGTTTAGTTAGCATTTGCTCAGATTCCCCTGGGGCACTGCGGCGTTCCGTCTGGGTCGGTATGGTGGAAGGGCCCTCTGAGTTGGGGGTCGGAGGCTGCGGCTCAGCCTCAGTTTTGCAACCGCAATTGGTAAAAATCAACAGTTGTTTCTCTGACGTTCCCGCTTTTCTGCCATTCCTCTTTCTCTGCCCTCTACCCTGATGACTGGGCACTGCCATCGGCCGCATGGAGTTCACAGCACTCTCAGGCAGGGCTGTTCAGGGAACTCGCCACACCTTCTCTCCTCCTCCTCCTCCTTCAGGGATCTCCCAGTTCACTGCCCAGCACCCGGAGTTCTGAACTGTGGTAGCTCTTACGTGCTAATCACATGCTCAGATGTGCTGGTGTGCAGTTTGGGTGTTTTTTCTTGAGTTTTAGGTGTTCAGCTTCTTGTTGTTTCAAGAGGAGAGATCTGGGAATATCTCTCACGCCACCATGTTTAATCCTATCTCACAGTGATTTAGAAGTACTAGATTTTGATTGGTTCTTGTTTATGATGAAACTTGTTCACTTGGAATATTTGTCAATTTGGGATATTTGGTAATAAATAGATGCATTTCTTGTCTTTATACCTGGCTGATTTTTACATAGTATTACAGGGATGTATTCTTCATAAAGAGTGTTTTTTTTTTTTTCTTTAAACAGCTTATTTTGCAAGGCTCTTGATGTATTCAATTGATGCTGCAATGGGTTAAAATATTTTGAAGCTCTTGGCATTCTCTTTCAGAGCCTACAGTAAGCACATGCTTTTAAAAATCTATAACGAAGGTGAATATGTATTATCTGGGGAGGATTTGATTTGGATAATTGTCAAGCGTATAGATAACTAAACAAGATGATAGCATTTTTGGCTCCTAAACTAGTTCTGGAGGAATTTTCTAAAGAGGATGTATGAAAGTGTTCTGAATATGCCTAGTGAAAACATCATGGGGCTAAGTATTGTTTTTGTAAGGGAACATTTTTGGAGATGAAGGTTGCCATTTGTTCACTCTTCACATTGGGATGATATTCTTTTTATTGCCCATCCTGCCCACACAATGCTGTGGTGTACTGTATAAGGGTGTATTGGCCATGTTCTGGGGAAACTGCTGAAATTTCCATCCACACTGTCCCAGGGTTTCTCAGGTACAGCACTCCTGTTTTCTGTACTGTGGCTTTGTCCCAACCCATACACTCCTGCCCAGCCTACCTCTTGGGGTTAGTGACTTGGTCAGCTTGGTTTGAGGTTTGCCCTAGATACTGCTCCTCAGATTTCGTACATCTCTGTTTAGCCCAGTCTCCTGAAATACTGCGCCCCATTTTGGGTTCTGTGCTTTTGGCTCTTGATTTTTTGGGTAGGAACATCTGCTCTGCATGTGAAAATGTTAGTCACATTATTTTATAGATACAACCTATGTGAAAATATCCTGTCATTGAATATTTTTCAAATATTCTATCATTCAGTTTCTTGGAACATTGAATAGTATGTCATCCTTTGAATATAAAGAATGTGTTCCAGATCCTGGTGGAGCTGTTTTTCATTAGTGGCAGCGATGGACTCCCTCCTATAGCCTATGGCACATGTACTTTAGATAAAGGATCAGTCTCAGCCCATGGAACAGGTCAGGCCAAACTGATTTTTGGCATTTCCACTATACTCAGCCTGCTACTCTGCTGTGGTAATTTGCACCTTTGGGGTTATCGAGTTACTTTGGAAAACCTTTTGAATGTTTCATCATATGATTTCTCTCAGTGGCTGTATAGATTTTATCAACATCTTGTACTCTTTGGTCCTTAGTATCAAAATGACATGTTACTATATGATTGCAATTTTTAATTTTGTATGTAATGCCAGTTAAACATTGATAAGGTGCCCACACATCCAAAGCTAATGAGTATATTGTCACCTACATCAATACTGATTGTCATCAATGAATGGGGCTCTCTGTCTGTGAGATGGCACTGCTGAGGAATCATTGTCAGTTGAGTTTTGTCAAAGGATTCATGTTTATTTTTCCCAATTTTGATGATGGGTGGTCACATGCAAAAAGAAAAACACTTTTCATGATCTGTGTGGCTTTTATATTGCTCAATAGTTATATCATGTTTTCAGCTAGTACAAAATGGTTTATGTATCCTCTCCTCTCCTTCCCAGAAAGACATGTGAGAGAGGAAAACATCTTTTCCATCATTGTTCATCCACAAAGGTTCTCTCTCAAGAGTAAAATGAAGGAGTTTATGAATTTTATTTCGTACTCTCTTCGGAAAGCCAGACAGAGAAAAGGTTGGAAATAGTGGGATAGATCAACATTAACCAGTCCTTGTGTGGATTTATAGCATGACATACAGTACCTAATGAGTAGCAGGTTGGTTCCTCAGTTAGCTTAGCAGCTACATTCTGGTACAAAGGAATTTAGAAGAGGAGACCTGGATTTTTGTCTGGGCCCTATTGTTACTCAGGTATATGTTCTAAAAAGGGCTTTTAGATCCTAAAAAATGAAAATCCACTCAAGCTAACTAAAGAAAAAGTGCTGTTGAAAGAATAAAGGGAGATAGTAAGGAACCTAGTAATAGGAAGTATAGATGAGTTTTATGGGGATTAGAGCTGGGAATGGCAAAGCCATCCTCTTCTCCCTCTCCCCTCAGGTCCCTAGTGTTGTCCTTTTTCTCAAAGGCTTCTTTAGTCTTCCAACTCTACATGTTGATCTTCTCTGCATACTCCAAGCTTGTTTCTACATAGCTTTGACTTGTACAGGTTTGGGCTTGTCCTGCATCACCTTTAACACCCATGGAATATGACTTTTCTCCCAGCCCCAGCTCCCTGGTTACTTTCTGGTCTTTCATCATCCTGATTCCAAATTCTCTGGAGGACCAGGTGATGCTTGGCTTGGTTCTAGGGAATTATGATCTAGCTGAGACCCCATGTGGGTCAGGCCTTTCCTGAGGACACTGAACAGAGGTTGTTAGGACAGTAGGTCCTCCAACATCTGCCACTTTATCTTTCTCTTTCTGAGCTTCACATTGTCGTTTCTGGAAAATGAGTAGGTTGTGTTGGGTTGCAGTCTCCATTTAGTGCCTCCTGGTGTTTATTAATGTTGATGCTGCCATTATGTGTTTGCTTTCCAGGAAGCAATGCCTGTGTGCCCAGGCCATGCAGCCTACTCTGCCTGCCTAAGGCCAACAACAGTAAGAGCTGCAGGTGTCCAGAGGGTGTGTCCAGCAGTGTCCTCCCATCTGGGGACCTGATGTGTGAATGCCCTCAGGGCTATCAGCTGAGGAACAACACCTGTGTCAAAGAAGGTGCATCCCTTTTTCTTTTCTGCCCACCGTCTTCCTTCCCTTTTCTCCTCTTTCCCAGTGCTCTCTATTTCCTAATGTTTTGGGATTATCGAAAGTGCCCAAGCTAAAAAATAAAATCGACTAGATAACTATAGACATCTGGTTCAAGTTCTAAGGCTGTGATCCTTCAGTCCTCATCTAGAACAGCCCTAAGCTGTTTGTTTTTAAATAATACCGTGCTTTGGTTTAATGGCAAGCGATACAGGCTTTCCTCAAAAGCCACCATTTTTTTTTTGTCACTTCCTCTCCTTGTCCATCCTCCATATCTAAACTCTCCAACTTCTGCTTTCCATAAGTTGGGCCACCCTGACTTGAAAAAAGAACTGGTTTGACTCCTTCACAGCTTACCTTGTCTCACCTAGCAGTTAGTCTCCCCATCAAACCTACCCCCAGCCTAAAATGTCCTAAACTTTCAGACCAGTGTAACAAAAGGCTTTGAGTTTTTAGTTCCAGGCTGTGACCAAGTGGCTATAGAAGCCTCATCCCACTCTTCCTTTGAATTTGAATACATGAATTCTAAACTTTTCCTCTGAAAACCCATTTAGTCTTTTTTTCCCAATTTTCACCCTTACCACTTCCCCAGTCCCCAGTCTCGTATTTCTGTCAGTGAGATGAACCCCTGGAAAGGGGTCTGGCCACAAAGTGCTCAATTAATGGCCCAAATTCTACTTTGCCTTATTCTCAAAGCTCTATTTGCTTTGTAATCATAACCTTCCTTCTCACAGCAGCCTCTTAGTCTAGGCCAGTGAAACACAAATTTGCCTTAATATTGTTTCTTCCTTAAGAAATACAAATAGAAGAAAGATGAGCCTTCCTTTTTAGACACAGGAGACTCTCTTTTGGCTTTGGAGGTCATCTTAAAGCTGTTTGGAAAGAAACAGAATTAACACTAAGTTCCAAGAGGAGAGGGAAGAAGGCTTTTTTATATTCCAAATTAGAAGGCCTTTGGTTACCTAAACAAGAGGCCAATCATCATGTGTCCTTGACCTTTACTAAACAATGTTTTTGTGTGTGTGAGGAATTATAACTGCTTGCTTTAAAGAAGTTATGGGGTAGAAAAAATCCTCAGAGTATGTAAATAAAGTCCTCATAACCCAGTTGGTTGGTAAATTAAATATATGAATATGTATAGCTATATATATTGTATATAATATGTAATACATATAATATAATATAATACCTATAATACATGCTATAGATACTTTGAATATATTTGAATCCTGTATAGATGCAGTCTATGAAGGAATTCCTTGTGGAATTGGTATTTTATAATGTCGGTGTGTAGTATCTCTCTACCCACTAGACCCAATTGGCATCATCACTCCTTTTTCATCACTCTAACCACCTCTAAATGCTCCTCTGGCTTGCCTCTTCTTCTTTAATTTTAATTAGAAAAGGAAAGAAGGAGGCCTCTATCAGAGGCTTCTATCTTTGCATGTATGTGTGTTTACCACCCCTCTTCCTCTTTATCATCTAAGGCATGTTATTTGAGGAAGAGAAATGGAAACTAAAAAAAGAAGGTCTTGTGATCCATCAGTAAAAATAATATTGATTTTGTTTCCTCCCTTGCCTACCTTGGATCGCTAGAGAACACTTGTCTCTTCAACCAGTATCGCTGCAGCAACGGGAATTGTATCAACAGCATTTGGTGGTGTGACTTTGACAACGACTGTGGGGACATGAGTGATGAGAGAAATTGCCGTGAGTCCCTGGCTTGGCCAAGTTTTTGGATTGTTAAGCATTTACTGTTACCAGCAGACTGGTCACCTCCTAGGAGGGGCTGACAATCTAGGATACTGGCTGGCCCTTGTGATCGGTGATGTCCATTTAAGCTGATGGGGCTTGGAGAACACAAAGAATACACAATTCCAAATCCAACTAGATATATCTTATTAGTTAAAAACAAACCCACATAAGTTAACTATGTCATTATAAGAGATTTACAAATAAGCATCATGTGGCTGAAATTGAACTTATTTGGGAGTCTGGCAAGCTGGGCTCTAACTGTGGCCCACTGGTGATCTGGGGCAGTGACCAGGTGACAGTCCTTGATTTGTAAGTTCAATATTCAGCCTTTTCAGATATGAGAACAGATTTTTCTTGTAAACCACCGTAATCTGTTGGTGTTGGCTGCTAGCCAGGCTCCAGAGAGATTGTTCTTCTTTATTGGTGATGCCTACTTTGGTCTGGAATGTGTTATGTTATGTGTGCATATAAATGTAATCTTTGGACTATATAATTTCTCAGGTCTACCTACTAAAGTATATGATTCTGTTTAGCAGGGTTTAAAGACAAACAAATAATTATTTATAATGGATAATTCATTTATCACAAATTTTAGCTCCCTTTACTTAATTTTTACTTAGAAGGAGGTGCTTTGCCCTCTGTCAGTCAATAATATGTTCATACATTTACTCCATAAGTATTTATGGAAGACTCTTGGTTCCAGGCCCTTTGCTGGGCCTGGGGCTATATTACCGATCAGGGTGAACACAGAGTTTAATGCCTGAAGGGATGTCAGAAAAGCAAATAGCCAGTTACGTCTGAGCAATGAGTGCTATGATGGGGAAGCACCAGGGCACCCAAATCAAACCTGAAGAGCCCTGAAAGGTGGGTAGAGGTGAATCAAGCTGAGGTGGAGAGAGGAAAATTCTAGGCAAGGAAGCAGCATGTATGAAAGCCCAGAGGTCAGAGTATATGTAGCTTGGTTAGGAAACTGGTGTGGGTAGGTCATTGAGAACTTGAGTGGGAGCAGTGGGGTAAGGGAAGGCTGGATTAGTGTGTGGGGCCTAGAGCAGCAAGGGCCTTTGGACTTTGTCAGAAGAGCAGTTGAGAGCCATTGAAATGACATGATAAGATTTTCCCTTTGGAAAGATAAGCTCTGGGCAGAATGAATCGAATGGGAAAAAAACTAGAGCTAGGAAGCCAGAAAAAAACAGTCTGAAGTTCCTCTTTCAAATATTTTACCTTTGGAAATTCAGAAGCTCATTTATCATTTTGTATTGTAAGAACAGATTAATGATGGCTTTTGGCTCTATGTCCTCATCTTGCCTTTGGTGGATATATTTGGCCTGCCATCTGTAGAGCCTGTGCCAAGTTCCCATGGCACTCTACCCAGAAAGCAGCTTTAGAAGCAATCAACTCATTGAACTCATCTGGCTCTGCAATTCTATCTATTGCCTTCTTTGTCTTATTAGAGGTTTTATATCAAACCTTTCCTAAATCATTTTTCATTGGCTTCAGTGGATGCCTTTCTCACTTAAGGAAAAGAGCTTCCCGAATGGCAGACTTGGGAGAGCACTAGTCTCTGCGTGTTTTTCTTTTTTGCAAAGTAGACACTGATAAAACTCTAGCTACCTACCAGAGTCTCCAGAGGGTTTGATATTTGTCAGGGACTAGCCAAAGCTCCTCGAAAACATTAATAAATGTTAATAGTATTGGAGCAGATTCTGGAAGGGACTTTATTACATAATAGGGTGGGAGAAGAGATGCTTCTTAGAATTTACACATTCCAAGAAAATTGCCCAGATGTGATTAGGCATAGTAGAAGCAGAGGGATATAAACTTGATGACCTCATGTCCAATAGCTAGAGATTTTTCCTTGGGTCCCTGAGCTTTAGTTTCTAGTAGATGGACTAGCTGGGATATCAGATTGGTTCAGTGTTTTGAGAGAAACACATCCCTCCATCTTTAGGCGGTGCTGCCCACTCACCCAACCCTGAGGTCTGCTACCAGTCTCCTGTGTTTCCACATAGAGTTTAAGCTCCTCCTCTGAATGAAGTGGGCAGCTGGCTCTAACTTCTTCTTGATTTGGTATAAATGTCAGCTGGAATCGACCTTCCCAAGAGCCTGAGACTTGCTTTCTCACAATCCCACTTGGCTCAGGCCCAGACTAGTCAGATATGGTAGAGGTGAGGAGATGAAGAAGGCAGAGATTAAAAGGGGAGGCTAGGAACCAAAGTTATGGTGCTTATCTGTGCCTTCCTGTAGTGTTTCCCTCATTAAGGAGGAGATCAGCACTTATGATGGCGAGAGGCACCCCCTCCTAGAGGTCCGCAGGGGAGGGATGGGCCATGATGGGCCACTACTGTCTGGGAAGTTAAATGAGACATCCTGTCAGCTGCCATGGAAGACAGGAGGAGTGGAGACAAAGGGAGATGTGGGAGGGATGTTGTCAGCAGATCTCACTCCCTCTTAAATAGATTCCTGTGCTGGGTAGTTGTCAGGCGTTTAAGGTTTTGACGTGAATCCCCTACAGTCTTGTCATTTTTGCATTTATCCCCTTACTCCCACCACGAGCTCATTTACAGAGAAGAAATGGAGCCTCAGAGAAGAGCTGGCAAGGATGTCTGACTGCAGCGTTTCCATTGGCTTTTAGTTTTATGGCAGGCCCTGCCACTACCACCATCACATTGCACCTGATACATGAGCTGCTCCCCAGAGCAGCCTTTCTTCCCAGAATCTTTCTTCGGGTTCTTTCTCTAGTTCTAACGGCTGTGCTTAAGCCCAGATAATTCTTATTTAAAAGAGGAAGACAATCTAATTCTGTACTCATTCTGATGCAGAAGGGCATGAGGAATGACGAGGGAGGGAAGTGACATTTGTTTGGGGCTTATTATATTTACATCCTATTTAATTGGCAAAATCCTAAACTTGTTTTCTTATTTACCTTCATGATAATGCCATGAGGTAGGTATTAACAGTCTAGGGAACTGAGGCACAGAATAGTTAAGTAAGTTATAGACAGAATTAAGATTTATATCTAGTCTTTCTGTCATCACAAGCACTTGGCCATGTTAACTTTTCCTCATTTTAATGTGGAGGAAGCTGAGGCACAGAGAGGTTAAAGTTAATTGCTTGAGAAAGAGGCAGAGCCAGGATTTGAAACCCAGTCTTTACTGATTTCAGGGCC